GGGGTGGGGGGAGGGTTCGGGAGGACCGAGCACCTCGGCCAGGGATTTCCCTGCAAGGTCATCTGCAAGGTCCCCACTGGAAAGGTGGGCACTTGGTTATCTTTTGAAAGTGAAAGCTCCCTCTCTGCACAGAACTGAAGGAAATGTTACATTTTATTAAAGGCGGACTCCCCAGAGTTTATATAGTCAAGGACCACCTCTTAAATGTGGGAAATAAAACAAAATGCTTGACTTTCTGGTCAACTGTGGCTTTAAGTATAAGAATTATTATAAGATAGCATCATGATTGAAAAATAGCTTTTAAGTGGCAAAGGCATAAAAATATATACAAGTTTATGACGACTAATGCTACTGTGAAAATTTTAACAGAAGACGACACGAGAAGACACACCGCGCTTTACGGTGGCAATGGCCAGTGGACAGCGTTTCCCGGGCTTCTCCGAGAGGGCACCCGAATGCCCCTCCAGCCTTCCCACACACCCACCTCTTCTGGGGAAAGTTGCTGGAAACTGATTATTGGGGAGGGTCTAAGTCATTTTACGTACTTCCAATATCCTCGAGACCTAACGTATCTGGAAACACTGGGGTTTTTCTCACAGCAGAGACTACCTGACTTGAGGTTAAAGGGGCACGTTCGCCACCTCCACACTCGGCAGATGCTCTCCCGAGCCCTTCCACACCCAGGGAGCTGGACGTGGCGAGTCCTCGACAGGCTGTCGCACATGATGGAGGCTGCTGCTCAGTGCCCCGAAGACAGCCTCAGGACTGTCGCCTCAATATAGCTGTTATTCAACAGCTGCCCAGGGAAACTGGGGAGGGGACACGTCATTGCCACCCCAAGGTCATTTATAATGACAGACCCCAGAAGTTAGGCAACATTTCCTCTCCCTCCAGGTCCTCCCAATGACTTTGAGAGACAGACGGTACAGCCACAGTGGTGGCTGCTCCCCTGCCCTGCCCTGCCCTGCCCTCTGAGTGTCAGGGGTGACAGCCCATGATGGGTGTGGACACCCACAGCTGCGCAGACCACAGCGGGGCCCTGGTGCGGCATCCTGCATCCTCTAGAACCTTTGTGAGCCCATGTTTCCAGAGCTAACGGAGACAGTTGAGGTGCAAAGCAGTAAGATGCTTGTTGAACAGGAATAGTGACAAATGAAGAGCGTGCTTTTGTTCAAGGTCAAACTGCAAGTCAATGGGAGAATGGACCCCCCGAAGTCCTGGCTCCTCCCCTGTGTGAAATCACCTGGCCATTAAAACAGGAACCAAAGCAGATTTTTAAAGGATTTCTCTGAGTCACAGTCCCCTCGAGAGTGTGTGAGTGCCCACTAACAACCCCATGGGCGTCAGGGACAAGGGGACCGAGGCCATCACCGAGTCCCATGGCTGGGGACCGGCAGGCTAGGCGCAGGACAGGGCCCTTCTTGGTCTCGGCAGAGGGGAGAGACGACACGTCTGCAGCCCAGGGCTCTGCCTGCAGTGCGGCCGCTGTCCCTCTGCAGGCTTGTGTCCTGCTGCCTTACCGACACTTTTCAGAAGAATCCGTCTCGCCTGACACAGGAACACCCATTTTCCCTCGGGAAGGACTGAACTTACGCAGGTTCATTTTACCTGGCGGGGCCACTCGGTCCTGATAGGTGGGCTTAAATTCACTGATCGTGAGCAGCATCACTTGGATGGTTCCGATGAAGATGCCAGCCAGGCAGCCGTAAAATATCACGTAGAACAGAAGGATCTTAACTGCAAGGAGAGCAGACAGAACAAAGGCTGTGATGCAGTCACATGTTCGGAACGCCAGGCGCACCTTCCCAAGGCAAGTGCGCGTCCTTCCTCCTTCCCTGCGCCCTGGGTCTGCAGCGCTCCCCGCGCCACCACTGACCAGTGTGACCACACGGGCCGATCCGGGGAAGGATGGCCTCCACTGCAGTGTGCGTGTCGGGGGTGGTTGAGGGCAGGAGGAATGTTCAGCTAGAACTAAGATTCTTTACAGGAAATAATTTTATTGCCTAAGTTTTTTAAAATGTTCGTGAAGGTCGCCCAGGAAACCCCGGGCCCCGTCTGAGAGCTGCTGCTGTGCTCGCTCATCCCCTGCTTCAGTCTTACAGCCCCGCCTCTGCTGCCTGCCAGGGGCGCCCAGGGCCCGGGGAGCTGCTGCTGCTCCTCACGGTCGCCCTTTGCTACCAGTCACCGAGCACCCAGCCCTTCCCTCAGGTGCACCAAACCAGAAAAAAAGAAAACGCTGCAGTAAAATGGCTGGCGCATTTTTATTTCATCTTCTGACTGGACCCGGAATAATGACTGACTTGATGAGCTGCACTTCAGCTCAGATCGCTGAAAAGGCAAAAAACCAAAAACCAAGGGCCCAGAGGCTGGCCGAGCTATCAGTTACGGGTTTAGGGGATTACCTCCCGATTAGCTGCACAGTAACAGGCTGTACCAGGCGTGGCCCCCAGCCCTGCGCCAGCCCAACAGATCGCTGCGATCGCAAAGCGGGAGGAAGTGAGCCGGGAGGTTACCCGTCGGCAACACAACTGCACAGAGGGGCTCTGGTGACGTCTGGAAATGTCCAGTCTCAAGCATTAGGTGCTGAGGTCCTTGGGAAAAGGCTACAGAACAAAAGTGTCATTGAGAAGAAGTGGGTGAGGGTGGTGGGAGAGACCTGGGGAGGGACTGGGTCCACGGTGGGAGGTGGGGGGGGGGCATTAGCCAGGCTTCCATCCTTTTAAAAGCCCAACTTTCCTATCAGCTAGTAACCAGACTTGAGAACTGTTAAAATAAGCAAATCATACATAAAGGCACACCAAAACGATTAATTAAAAGAAGGGGAAAGGCAAAGAGAGAGGCAAAGGAAACTGCAAAGGCTGCCTGCGGCTGGAAGGACAGCCGCCCAGGCCCCCGCCTCCAGGCAGGGTAAGGGTTAAGTGCTGCTCCCTCCGTATCCAGGCAGCAGGCGAATGGCAAGGCTGTGACGTCAAGAGATCTGGAAAATTTTTCCAGCCACTGCTCCTAAGAGGTGTGAGAGCTGGTGCAGCGCGGCCAGCGAGAGAACCGCCGTAACCTCTTTCCTGCGGCCCCACCTCGTCTGGTGCTCTTAGCTTAACCACACTGGTGCTTCCAATGCCCAGCGCATTTCCACACTCATCCCCGGGACCCCGGATACCTAATGTTAACACCACGAGAAGGTACATGACGGAGGCTACCATCGAAAACACGCACACGGCCGTGGAAAAACAAGTCGCTTGCCAAGCACACTGATTACACTTAAGATGCAGCCGTTCCGGTCTGCCCAACGCTGACCCCAAAGACAAGGGAGGAGCTGTCCTCTCTTGCTTTGCGATGTTACTTAGCAAAATGTGCCCAGGTTCTGAGATGTGGTCACCTGGCAGAGGGGGGCACACAGGTCTGGCGGAGCCTGGGCAGGCCACCAGGGGCTGCTCAGAAAGAACGCTGGACAAATGGTACCAGCCAGCGGGGGGCACAGAGGGCTTTAGGAGCATTTTTCCTTTAAAAGTACAAGTCATATAAAGGCTTTCCAATGGGGTGGGGGGAAGAGGACCCTTCAAGGGGTCACAGGCAGAAGGAAAACAGGGCACCTGGGCCTAGTGGTAAACATGGAACCTACCAATACCTGTCAGCACAACAGAGGTCTGAAGCACAGGTGGTCTGCACGCCAGCGCCTGAGTTAACTTAAAAAGGGGGACATAAAAAGATGAGAAGCACAGGTGATTTGTGGGCCATGATTTCTCCAGCAGGTGACAGGCGAAGCTAATGCACCCATCTCAGTGAAAATCTACCTGTAGGCAAAACTGAGCCATGGGTGACCTGCCCGAGTCCCAAGGGCACCGTGTTGGGCCCTGTGATAGAAAGGTGGCATTTTCCTCATCGGAGAAGCGACTGCCGCCGCCTTCCTGCCTACCGGAGACTCTGACCTTTCTCACATTGCCAGAAAGGAGCGGACATGTTAGCACAAAAAACCTGGATTTTCAGCCCAGCACCTGCCCCTTGGAAAATGGAAGGAAAGCTGAGAAAGGCACACCAGTCTGGTGTCTGCATCACATTGCCAGGTGTGGCCCCAAGACCCAGCCATTAACTCGTTCCCTCTCTCCCCTGGCCCCCTCTCACAGGCTGCCTCATTAAACGTCAGCTTAAAGAACATGTAGGTGCATACAGCCTTACCCTCTAGAGCAAATATTATTGTGGAACTGGAATGAGGAAAAATATATATTTAATGAGGGGGGAAAAACACTAGAAGGCAAATTTTGCAATGTACCCGGAGTCAATGCTGCCTCAGCCCAGGCCGAGGCTGGGTCAGGCACCCGGGCGGGAAGGTTCAGTGCACTGGGAGGAGGGGGCCCCTTCTGCAGTGCACCCCCACCCCCAAGCCTCACTGGAGTTACCAAGTTGCTAGAAGATGGCCCTGGCAGGGAGCTGTTCATGCTACACACACCCTGACTTTCAGGTTTTCCCTTCCACGCTAGGAAAATACAGGGAGCTATCCTCACGCGTGAAGAACTACGGCAATAATCACGCTGAAGAACAGTCTCCCCAAATACAATAGAACGTAAAATACATGCTAAAGCCGTTGCTGCAAAGGCCCACAGGTAACAAGGCCCAGGGATGCCTAGGCTGCCCAGTAACACCTGGGAACGAGGTTTCACCTTGACTAACCTTGAAGGGTGATGCATTATTAACCCTTCCCTTTTCAATCAAGAGGGACCCACACCACAGGCTGCATTTTTTTCTTTACAAAAAATCACATATTCCAGCTTCTTCCATTTCAAAATGTCAGCCAAGCACTATTTCCCTGACTCATTGTGCTGATGCCCACGGATTCTCCCAATCAGGAACCTGCACCAGCCCCTCTGCAGGGCTCCCTCAGTGGCTGCCGAGGTGCAGGTGGTGTCCAAGAGGATGGTGATGATGATACTACAGGAGGGGGCAGTGATGCAGGAGGGGGAGTTCCCTCCCTCTCTGCTGCAGTCACGACTCAGATTTGCCTACAAACTCTGCCCTTCAAAATGACCTTTATTAAAAAAACACATGTCACCCTCCAGGTGTAGGAAGGCATAAGACAAGTAAGATATCTAATTTTCAGGG